AAATATCCTTGCATTAATATTTTAATTCAAAATTGCCAAAATTATAAATTTCCTAATTTATCTATTGATTTGTGGTTAATATTGGTTCTCACAGTTACCACAAACTAATTAGTTCTCATTTGATTAGGCCCCTATATATATATATATGTGTGTGTGTGTATTATTCTAAATTATTATATGAACAACTATATTTGGATCGTTATACCACCATTTTACTGTCATGATAACTGCTATTGGAATCTGACCACAATTTTATATTTTGACCAGTGTAACAACCTAGTTCTTAAAGAAGCAAAATAAACCAAAGACTAGGATCCAAAAGCACATACCTGTAGCCTTTAAAGGGCAACCTTCATGCACCAACATCTGCCTTGCACTTGCAAAGAGGCTATTTTGGTGGCTCAAATCTATGATTTCTGGGTCACTAAGGAGTAACCTTACTAGATTCTAACACAACCCAAAATCATGCCACCTTGAAAACATGTAAATCAAACTCAGGTACCAAGTCCACATCAAACACAATCAAATTCACAGTTTCAACACAAATAACACCAAAATGTGAACACTTTTTGCAGAAGCAAAGGCAAGACATACGACAAGAATACTTACGGTACTAGACTCGATTAACAGCAAAACTTAAGCTATTGTAGACTAATACGTTCAGGTGGTAGCATTCACCGCTTTGTAGTACAAATTTCACCTGTTTTTTCTAACCTTTCTATGCTATTCTTCTTAGATGTAGAACACAAGCATCCTGCATTAATAGAGAAGGTGAAAATAAGTATTCTCATACAACATAAGATGATGGTAGGAATTATGTGTATGTTGACTAAAAAGGTAGATACAAAGGAAATATTCTAGCGGTTGCAAAGTCTTGGTCCGAATAATTGACCTTTTGAACCATTGCTTGGAATTTGTTGCTGCAAGCTAACCACTATTCTTGTGAAAATGCCAAAATAACACTTGACACTAATGGCAATAATGTACATAGGACTTGGCACTTTTATCAAAACTTGCCCATTATTGCAAAACCGTAGTGTCATTTTGCGTTTGCACAAGAACGATGGTTTTGTTTGCAACAAAAGACCAAGCACAATGGTCCGAGAGTCGAACTCATTAAGGAATGCAACTAAAAGATTGTATAATTTGGTTCCATTTTATCCATCTAAACTACGTTGATGAAAGTTGGCATGCCCTTTCATCATACCAAAGCTCTCTGGATTGCTGGTTGTCTGATGTTGAGTTTGGAAACAAAAAAGAAAGAATTCGGAAACAAAAGAGGGAAAGGTAGATAAGGCATCCAAGAGAATATATCATCCGACTGCTATGACATTAGCCCAAGTGGCTAAATTACCGGAACATGTGTAGTCTAAAGTGACTTAACACTTTCGGGAAAAGGGGAGTGTGTAGCCGACATGTGTCCATGTCGCAATAAGTGAATACAACCTTAATAGATGGTGGCATGATAAAAGTAATGATCAAACAATGATGTTAGTACAATGGGAAGTGGAACTCTCGAAATATACAAGTTTCCTAGTGTATAAAAACTGCACGCTTAGCAAAACAAACTTGTACCGAAAGCCTTAATCACTATTAAAACCATTGGAGGTGGTCAATATGACGTGACTTGGGGCTATTCCTTTTTCAATCGATGCTAGCACAACAGTATTTGTTACATAGTGATAGGGAACTGCCTAATAGCCCAGTTCTGGATGAAAGTCTACCAACACAGAAGGTCAGAGGTGTAAGGTAACATAGACCCGGTTGGTTAGTAGTGAGAAAACTATAGATAAAGAATGTTGAGTGTAGGTGTGAAGGCATTTTAGTAATTACCTTTTTGTTGAGAGAATCCGCTGTTAGCAGGTAGAGGGGTTACCAATCCTTTGGTTATCCTTTGATTATGTTATTATATTCCTTGGATTATTGGAAATCAAAGGAATATAATAACCGGTAATCTTCAAAAATCAATTCATTTTGAAATCATGCAACTTTCGTAAAACATGAAGTCAATAATCAAAAGGGCAAACTCTTTCAACAATATGTTCGAGTCATGAAACATATTCAAATGATTAACATAAACTCAACTTTGAAACAAAAGAAATGTTTCCCTAGTCAAAGAAATAGGATATTAGTACCTTAGTCGTTTCCTTACTTCTGATCACCTATAATCTATGCTGTTATATCGGTCAGAATACGAAATATCGGTCAGGACCGATATTCGATATATCGGTTATATCGGTGATATATCGGTCCAAAATAGCGGTTAACATAATATTTCTTAGAATTATATATAATATGCATTAAAGAAGAAGTCGAAGTCGAAGGCTGAAGAAGAAGTCGAAGGCTGAAGAAGAAGTCGAAGTCGAACTGTCGAAGTGAAGTTGAAGTCGAAGTCTGAAGAAGAACTGAAGAAGTCGAAGTCTGAAGTTGAACGTGAACTCGTGATTAACTAAAGTCTAAAGAAAGAAGAAGACGTTGTGGATTCAGACCTAATTTGAGTTACCTAATTTAAGTTATCAGCCCAAAAAATTAGGCCCATGGAATAACAAATTTAAGTTATCGGCCCAAATTTTTAAACCTTATAAAATCGGTATATCGGCCCGATTTTCACCTCAAAATATCGCTAAATATCGGAAAATATCGCCGATAATATCGTTCCCGATATTTTGACCGATATTTATGTTCCGATATTTTTTCTAGGAGCGATATCCGATATATCGCGATATTGACAGCATAGCCTATAATCATTTAATAAACACTAAATTAACGCCCAACATAACCGCTAAGATCCTAAAGAAAAATAGACAAACAATCACATTTGGACCTTAAAAAAAAGAAAATGGCATCTTGCTAACACCTTATGTTCCAGTCTTTTTCTCACATTTAGAAGCCAAATTAGCTGTTGGTATCTAAACGAAAGCTGTAGATTGACCTTTTAGGATTCTACAGAAACTGGAATCATTTAAATCGGAGTTACGAGTAGATCAGTACAACCTTAATAAAAACAGTGTGCAGTTGTACCGATCTACTCGTAACTCCGATTTAAATGATTCCAGTTTTTGTAGAATCCTAAAAGGTCAATCTACAGAAACTGGAATCATTTAAATCGGAGTTGCGAGTAGATTGGTACAACCTTAATAAAAACAGTGTGCAGGTTGTTATGCACACTGTGAGCTGATTCAAAAACTCAGAACTTGGACTCTTCATAACAGTTTTAGAGGACATTCTAAGCTTTCCATCGGTATATCGTACACCTGATCTGGACCAACAATTGATTTTCTCTCACTACTAACCAATCAGGTCTATCACAACCCTACACCTGCCTAGACTTTCATCCAGAACTGGGCTTGGGCTATTGGGCCGTTCCCTATCACATAGAGGGTTGGTTCTTGCAGAATAATGCCTCAGCATCAGGCATGAAGATCAACTAAAGTGGTAAATATCCTACGGTGTTCTTTACGTGTTTTGAATAAACCAATTTGACTATCTTTCAGACAATTTTTTCTATCTTCCGTTTTAAATGAAAATAAAACTTTGTTGCAAACCAATTTTGCATACATGTATACATTTTCCTGCCCAGACTAAACATATCAAAGGAAATAAAAGAAACGGAACATAATTAGGATATGCGTTTGGAAAAAAGGTATAAAGCTAAATTGCAATAAAGTTGAACAATCTTACAAGATTATGGCTTGGGATTCAAGTAGACTGTTTCTGCATTTGGTGAGGCTCGTGGGAACTGCATGGTATCCTTAGCAATGTTAAACCATTTTTGAGCATCATGAGGGCCACTTGGTCGGATAAAAAATTTCTTGAGAGAAGGGGAATGAGCAAGTACAAGCTTTATAAAAAGTAGTTCCGGTCTTGATCCTTCTAAACTTATGTCCGCAAGTTGCAACCGTTTCAATGTCTGATCTAAGCACCCTGGGGCTTCCAAATGATTTGAAGATGCTCCAACATCATCATGCAATTGAGGCTTCCGGAAAACATAAAAAATACATCGATGGCTTAGCATCCGACCCTTGTACCATATAAGCAAAAAATAACTACTTAAACCACAAAGTTGGTGCCCAATTAGTTTAAGCTTGGGCTCCAAAGGTCAAAAGTGCCTGGAGGTCCCAGGTTCAAGTCCGAGGAGGAATAAAAAATCCCCTTGTAGCCACAAGACTCCGGGCTATCCGCGAAGCGGGTGGTCGCCCTGGGATTAATCGGCTCGGCTCGCATAGCGGGTTGGATATCCAGGTTAATAAAAAAGAACTACTTACAGAACTTTTTGCTTTACCTTATGTGTAAGCTTCATATACAGTCTTTTTAGATTTGGTGAGTTTCGAAGCAAACAAAGAGCACCATGAAGTTGATCCAAATCACCAAGGTCAAAATATAACAACAACAAATGCTTTAAACTATTAACTGCATGAGGAAGCCACTTTGGAATTTTATCTGCACTCAAAAACTGTGAGGCAAAAGTGAGATATTATCTTACCCAAAAAAAGGTGAGAACTCCATCAAACTAGAAGGGTAGAAAAAGTTTGCCCAAATTCCATTTGGAGAACTGAGGTTAAACATTAAAATGTCGATTTTGTATCATACCTTACTAAAATGACCATCGATATAAAACTGTTCAATCTTCGGCAATTTACTTAACAAGATGGTCAAATTCACCCTTTCAACTCGTACAAAATCTTTTATGGGCTTTTGGAAAGATAAAGCAATAACAGTAAGGCATGGACTGTCTAATAACCGGAGCACATTGGCTTGAGGGCAAGTGATGACAATCAAAGTCTTCAGTTTCTTAGCCTTGATGTTGAAATTGTAGACATTTGTGCACGTATGCAGGCACAGCCTCTTAAGGTGTGGTAAACTAAACGGAGTTTCCCAGGAGTTAGCCCCAAAATCAATATCCTTGAGAAAAAGATTTACAACATTGAAAAATCCTTTAAACTCAAGTGGTGGCTTAAAAATGCAATTCTCGAGTTCCAATTTTCTCAATTCTATACAAGAAAACACATAGGATGGAAGTTCATAACGCCGATTTGAATTAGTAAGGACGAGTTCCCTCACACTATTTTTTGATAAGCATAGCATCAACTCATCGATTTCTTCGAAGCTATAAAGATACATTTTTGGTATATGGAGAGAAAATTTCGAGATAGGACCCTTGTGAAGGATCAAGACTTGATTTATGATCCGTATAAAACCATTACGGCCATAAGCTCCATTTTTTGCAATTTTTTGGCAGAATTGCTTATCAAGGACCAACACCCTCATTCTAGTCCATCTATACCTCCACTTTTTTGATAGAATGCTTGTCCTTACAACATCTTGAAATGGGAGTCGCTCTAGGATCGAGTCTATCAAATGCTCTGATAAGTTATTGATTCTATCCTCATCGGCACAAGTTGGAAACCTCCTTTTATGATTCTCTGTCAGTAGATCAAGAAAACCAGGACCAAATTATTTCAAAGAAAATGGAACGCAATAAGGAAAATGGAACTTAACATCACCCATACTCTTCTTAATTTCCTTCTATTACCAAAAGAGGTGTTGAGTGTGATAAAAGAACTGATCAGAAAGAAATTGTTTTTATTTGCAATACATATGATATGAAGGTTGGAATCATTCTTAATGTTACTCACATATTAACATTTTGTAGAGGTCAAAATGATAGTCAAATGGATTTCCTTCTTAGTAACGACAAGCAAAGGGAATTGACATGTGTAGATTGCAAAGCTTATTCCTATGGAGTGTATAGTGACACAACACATAGGGGCATGATGGTGGATGGAATAAACTAGGTGGTGGAACCTGTGACATCCCGTTCCCAGGGGTATTGTCCTTTGCCCTTAGTACAAGTGAATGAAAGAAACTTCATATCTTAAACTTTTATTTCATTATAATAGAGTTATTACAGCAGCGGAAATGCAGAAATTTACAACTTGTAATATTCTAACATCTTAGAATAGCAACACTTCAGCTTGTTCCTACTCCTTGATTCCTGAGATACATACATGAATACATAAGCTTTAAACTTAGTGAGCAGTTATGGTTTCATGATAAAACATCCTTTCCAAATAGTTAAAATAATTCTTATAAACTTTCATGTATAAAAACATTTCTTTGAGATCTCATGGTTACATGTTAAATAAACCAACTTCTCACACGTTCTTTAACCTTAGGTCCACATAAGGGCTTGCCTAATAAGGTCCGTTTGCAAGACGTATCTTCTTTTTATATCCTATACGTTGGATATTTAAATGGTTATACTTAACATGTATAAAAACTTTCATATACCACATGTGCATCATGACATAAAAGGTGTACTTTGCCACATAATCATAACATAACATTTACAAGAAGATATGGCAATATTCTTTCATGCATAAAACATTTATATATAAATATAGCATGTATGTATCCCAGTAAATCTCATAACGTACTCACCTTGATTATGCCTAGCATTTCCCTTAATTCCTATCTTCAACCTTGATTAGGTATAAAGAGAGAGATTTCTTATTTCGGGTATGGAACTAATGGCAACACTTCAATCACTATTTATAGGTAAATTCATTGCATTAGCTACTTGTTTTTCTTGCTCCCAAAATTGTACTCTTATGATAGTTTAACACCTCATTTTTGAAGATAAAAGAATCTTGACACCTCATACTTAATATAAAGAAATCTTGACACCTCATGCTTCTAGCTCTTGCTTGTCATCACGAATTTTGCGAATACATGCTTCTAGCCTTGGCAACTCATAACTAGCTTGCTTTGTCACAAGATTTTTGTGGCTCATGTTGTTTGTTTATAAGTAGCTTAGTAAGCTACTTATGTGCTTACTGGTAAGTAGCTTTGTAAGCTACTTGTGTGCTTGCTTACTTATTTATCTCTATAATTAATATTTTTTTTCACTAAAAGATGTTATTTACCTTGTTTTAGTTCTTATATGAAGGGCCTTTAGAAACAACTTAAACTTTATAAGAAATTATAATAAAGATATGTATATATCTATATACCTCGCTGAAAATTAGGGTTGTTACAATTCTCCCTCCCTTTTAGAGATTTCGTCCTCGAAATTTTTACTCAAAAAGGTGTGGGTACTTATTTTGGATTTCCGATTACTTCCTATGTTGATTTTATCCCATGGTCAGTCCCAATGAACTAATACCAATGATACCTCTTTGTTTCGAAGTTTCTTAATTTTATGCTCAGTGATAGATATGGATTCTACGAATTTAAGTTTATCATCAACCGAGATTTCTTCAACCTCGTTTGCATAACATCAGATAAGTTTGATACCATAAGTCACCAACTATCTTCCATTCCTTACCATTTAGATATATGCAAACTCAAAATATCTTATAACTTGCTATGTCATACTTACATTTCAACTTAGTTCGACATAATAATATCATAAACTTTACATTCGCGGAAGTATTCTAACAATAGTTCAATAGCCTAACATGTATTATTGCTACTATATGAACTATATCCCTTCATGTCTTACTTTGATCTCATGTGAGATAGTTCCTATTTCACCTATCCATCTAACATTATACACATGTACTGATTCTCCATTCCAGGTTTGCATCTTCACCGTATTCTTTTCAAACACCACTTCTGGGTCATTCTTTGACAACAAAACCATTCAAATATTATATCACCTTTTTCCTGAGCACATCAACTTAACTAGGTAATTCTTGCCATATAGATTGATCAAACAATCCTCAAGAATCTCATTAACCTTTAACTGACCACCATCAATGGTTATTAGTACCTAACTCTTATTCTAGTTGTTCAGCTCTTATATTCAAGTAGTTCAAACAAAGCTTCTAGATGTACTTGAATCGAATAAAACTAGGGTACAATAATTATTGCCAAGAAACACATGTTGGTGATTCCTTAGGCCTTGTCTGCTATCACGACATATGCCTTGTCCTTTGCCTTCGGTTCCTCTTTTTTTTTCAACTGAACTTCCTTACGTTGACATCTAGACTATTGTTGAATTCTACTGAAGCTTGGGACAACTTGATCTTATATGCCCATCATACAACACTCATAGCAAGTGCATCTTCGTATATTGTTTTATCAAGTGTCATGGCTTAACACATGTGTCGAACCTTATGCTACCTACTTGTCATACTCACAAGTGTCTTCTATTAGACTTATTGCATAAAGGATAACTCAACTCTGATCTCTTGGCCTATTTCGTTAGATGGCTAATCACTATCTTTCTCACATATTACATCCTTTGGTTATGATTTGAAATCCTTATCCATAACACAATCCTTTACTAGTTTGCAAAATTTCAAGAACTGACAGAACAATTTTCTTATTGTTTACTACTCCTATATCTTAGCTTCTACCTTGATGTTTAACCTTGGTTTCACCTTAGCTTTGGCCTACATAAACACTTGGTTGTATGGCCTCATATGTGACATGCTTAGTGTTGAATTTGTTGTTCTACCATTCCTTCTAGATTTTTTTGATAATAAAAATGACAACATATATGTGCCAAACATCTTTTTGTGTCATAGTCTTGTATCATAGTTGTATAATAACTTCAATAATAAGTCTGACCTGAATTATTTACTTTCAATAATATTAACTATTAACATAGTCTGATATTATATATCAAAACATGGCTACTATGATATGGACAATACTGAGTACAGTTGAGAATAATACACTAAATGATCATTTAATTGTCATCCCACATACTACTTAACTAGCTGATATTTTATCACCATTTTCCAACATAATAAAGGAAATCTTACTAAAGATGTCATCAAAGAATAAACTCAGTGAAGTAATCCATCAAAGTATGAATACTAAAGTCTTAAGTTTTCAAGGTTATATGAGTTTGTAATCTATTTCTCTTACACCACAACTCTTATTTTAATAAGATCAACACTTCTTACTAATCCATCTGACTACCAATATGAAATAGCCAGGCCGGTATCACGGGAGCTAGCATCTGTTAGGTGCAATTGTAATCTGCGACTTCTTTTTTGCAGTCAACAACTCAGCCGGTTCAACCTTTCTGGACACTATCCCATATGGTTATATCGACCAGGATAAGAAATTAGCGAAATAATTTGATGGAGTTCAGATATATGTTAGTTATTTTGAATATAATGCTTTAATACCCAATGTTATCCTCCTCGATTTAAGTCTAAGTTACCTAATTTAAGGCAATCTTAATTCACTTAAACTAATGCTCTGATACCAACTTTTGACATTCCGTTCGCGAGGGTATCATTATTTGCCCTTAGTACAAGTGAATGAAAGAAGCTTCATATCTTAAACTTTTATTTCATTATAATAGAGTTACTACAGCAGCAGAAATGCGAAAATTAACAACTTATAATATTCTAACATCTTAGAATATCAACACTTCAGCTTGTCCCTACTCCTTGATTCCTGAGATACATACATGAATAAGTAAGCTTTAAACTTGGTGAGTAGTTATTGTTTCATGATAAAAAATTCTTTCCAAATAGTTAAAAAAATTCTTATAAACTTTCATGTATAAAAACATTTCTTTGAGATCTCATGGTTACATGTTAAGTAAACCAACTTCTCACAGGTTCTTTAACCACTAGTCCACATAAGGGCTGCCTAATAAGGTCCGTTTGCAAAACGTACCTTCTTTCTATATCCCGTACCTTGGTTATTTAAATGGTTATACTTAACATGTATAAAAACTTTCATATACCACATGTGCATCATGACATAAAAGGTGTATTTTGCCTCATAATCATAACATAACTTTTACAAGAAGATATGGCAATACTCTTTCATGCATAAAACATTTATATATATATATATAGCATGTATGTATCCCAGTAAATCTCATAACGTATTCACCTTGATTATGCCTAGCTTTTCCCTTAATTCTTATCTTCAACCTTGATTAGGTATAAAGAAAGATTTCTTATTTTTGTTATGGAACTAATGGTAACACTTCAATCACTATTTATAGGTAAATTCATTGCATTAACTACTTGTTGTTCTTGCTCCCAAAATTGTACTCTTATGATAGTTTAACACCTCATTTTTTAGGATAAAAGAATCTTGAAACCTTATAAGTAGGAATCTTGACACCTCATGCTTCTAGCTTTTATTTATCATGCTTCTAGCTCTTGCTTGTAATCATGAATTTTGCCAACACATGCTTCTAGCCTTGACAACTCATAACTAGCTTACTTTGTCATAAGATTTTTGTGGCTCATGTTGTTTGTTGATTAGTAGCTTAGTAAGCTACTTATGTGCTTATTGGTAAGCAAAGCTACTTGTGTGCTTGCTTACTTATTTATCTCTATAATTAATATTTTTTCACAAAAAGATGTTATTTACCTTGTTTTAGTTCTTATATTAAGGGCCTTTAAAAACAACTTAACTTTATAAGAAATTATGATAAAGATATGTATATATCTATATACCTGGCTGAAAATTAGGGTTGTTACAGAACCTCAAAAATGGATAAGAATCCGAGTGTTTTTAACAATGTAATGGTTATAAGCAAAGTCGTTAAAGGCTCAAGGCGCACTTAGGCGCAAAGGGGTCCAGGGGCCTAGGCGCAGGCGTGAGGCACGAGCCTTGGGAATGCAAGGCGCATCTTATATTAAAACTTTATCTATACTATATTATAAAGCATTTGACAAAAACTCTTAAAAACCATTTTTTATGCATGAAGTACTGTATATTGATGCATATTACTTAAAATTYAAGATTACAAGTAAATTATGCATAAGTTCAACTTATTAAAGCTTCATGTTTGAATTCGTATAACTAACTGCGGATAAACATAACCAAATAGAGGATAAACATCTCATTTTAAAATATAAAAAATCTAAAATATAATTAGGATAATTATCGAGTTCTAACAAAATAATTAATTATTATCTTTATAAAAAAAATTATATTATCAAACGAAATATAAATTACTTCGTTATTGAAGCTAAATTAAATTATAATAAAAAAATAAATTAAATAATTACAAAAAAAATAGGAATTTTAAATAGTTATTTGATACTAATATCGATATATTTTTGTCAATTTTTTATGATGTCTTCAAATTTATATTTTATTCAAACATAAAAACATCATCATTTTTTTCAGAATCACATAAGACCATACTATAACATTGACTGAGATACGAAATAAAATAAAATATTAAAATCAAGATGTATCTCGCTGCATTACACAAGTACCCTTCTAGTATATATATACACACACACAGTTACACACAACTCAAATATGTAGCAAAACCTCCGGTGCAGCAACCAACAGCACTTCGATAGAGGCAGAAGGGAGAAGGATTTAAAGCGATGAGCCATGAGAGAGAAGTTTTAAGGTCTAGGTATTTATAGAGAAAGAGGCTTGAAGTTATAAGAACAACGTATTTAATATTAGGATTTGACTTATATCATCTATTAAATAACTCTTTTTTTAAGACGTCTAGAAGATAAGATAAGAGAACTTATTTAATATTGGGGTTTGACTTGGTATTTAATAACTCTTTGAGGCATAGGCCTACAAGGCGCCTTAGCCAAGGCACAGGGCCTTAGTGAGCCTCGTGAATACGCCTAGCCTCGACACTAAAAAAGCCCAAGACCTTGAGCCTTATGAGCCTCAGAGTCTAGGCGCGCCTGCTTTTGCTATGGTTATAAGGTTGGAATAGGTAAAGCTCCAACCGATAATATTCCTATGGAGGTTATGAAGTCCTCGGGAAGGTAGTTATAGCATAATTCACTAGGTTATGTATGTTATCCTTACAAAGACATCTCATGAATGTAGAGATAGTACATCATGTGCGACTACAAGAACAAATGAGATATTTAAAGCTGGAAAAACCTGAGAGGGATCAAACTTAAAAGCATGTGAACGTGATTAGCCTTATGGCAAGAAGAGGGGAGTTTGGATTAATTAAAAGGCGAGATAGGGAGAGGGGTAACGTGGTGGTAGTTAGGTTACCAAAGCCTGTAAAAAAATGGTTGTCTTGGTTCTTCCTTCCGTTTATGTCTACTGTTATTTCTACTTATGTTTGTTGTACATTAGTCTTAGATTTTCTTGTAATTATAGTTGAATGGGCTACGCTTTGTGTTTCCTCGTCTGTTTAACCTATTTCCTTTACATTTGTCCTTGACGCATTTTATGTTTACAATACCCTTTGCTTGTTTATGTTCACTCTCATATGTAGTTTGCTCGTTTGTTTCTTTTAATCCTTGTTTTGCAACTTGGACGTCTTTACAAAAACAACTTATTTACCCCTTGAGGTAGAGGTAGAGGTAGAGGTAGAGGTAGAGGCAAAGTCTACGTAGATCCTCCCCCAGAATAAACCCTACCTCTACATGGGATTTACTATGTCCGTTTGGTTTGGTTGGTGCTCATAAAAATAGGTAACAACAAGGGTACATGTTTCCCTGTCACTCTAGGGTTAAATCTAGGGTGAACATTTGGTACTTACCTTTACCTTAATTAAGGATGGGCTAAGAAACAACATGCATGATGATACACCATGATGTATGCTATACACTAATGAAATCGTGTTTATGGACATGAGTAAGCAAAATGTTGCTAGTGTGGAGAAACAACACGGAATCTAAAGACGAAACTTTTGTTGGCTTGGATGTTATATTCGGGACCCATGAAAGTTGAAACTAGTCTAAGATGTGTAGAAGCTGACTTGGACGGTTACCAAAGGTGAAGCCTTTGCTAAGATAATTACAAATGGACAAGTTTGATTAAAGCATTCATTCTCAGAGTCGTGACATTTTGTAAACCTAGTCGAACTCGCATGACCACATACATTCTATTGGCAAACCTAACTTAGGGGTTGTTTACTCAACGCCAAGGACCAATAATCTTACCCAGTAAGAAGCATGGCAACAACGAAGGTTATTCTTACCGGGTAAATCGGTAAATGAGGGAGAAGATTCTTACCCCGTGGTTGTGGTGACTCTTGTCGGTAAGTTAACCGGGTACATCGAGGGCCCACAAAAATTAGGGGCCCAAATTTTTTTAGTATATATAATAGTAGTTCAAAAAATTTAGTAAATAGAAGAGACATAAAAAATTAGTATCTAATAGGACCAGAAAAGATTTTGGCACTACATTAACTATTAAAGGCCCGAACATATATTAATTAAATATATTGGAGAAGAAAAAACATAAAAAAGTTAATTTGTCATTCATTATGTAATATTGTTTAATGTTTCTCTAAGTTTTTTCTATTCAATACCGACGTCTAAAACTACTTGCCTCAAAAACTTTGATATAATCTCCATAATTCATCTCCGATCGACTCTTTTGATTACTCCATTCTCACATGAATTCTATTTTTGTGTTAGAATATAGTAGATTTTCTTATTATTAGCTAACAAAACCCCTATCTTTTGAAAAAATTACCAAGCATATGAGACGGTACAGCTTATATCTATATTTAGAATAATAAAACTACAATTGTTTTTTTCATACTTGTTCTTTATTATCTAATATTGAGTGCATAAATCTTATGTACTCTTCTATTTATAAAAGAAGTATAAGATCTCAAACTATAACCAAAAGAGGTTTTTTATTTATAAGATTGATGATTTCAGAAAAGTTTGTTTTAACCGTAATGCTATATTCTTGAGTCTTTCTTTTCGTAGGAAAGAAAAGAAAGTAATGTGGGAAGAAAATATTTTGTTCTTGAGATTTTTTTAAGGAAAGGAAAAGAAAACATAAATTATATCAAAATTTATTTTGTATTTCATTATTTTCCTTTCATCCCTCTTCTCTGTAAAAAAAAACACAAATAAAAAACTTTATTTTTTTCTATTTTTTTCTTTTCATTTCTTGTTCTCTTCTTTCCTTCCCAACTTCAAGAACGTAGTATAAAAGTTTAAAATGGTGTTAAAAAACATCAACATGAGGTGACATGAAAAACTAACCTATTTACATTGATTTATATAGTGTTACTCGAAAATCAGAAGAATTAACATTGTGAGCCCAAATGATGTCATTCTCCGTACCAGAAATAAATTGTGTTCTAGTAGATAATATTAATTAAAAAATGATTATTGATTGATTTTGCATCTAGAAATACTCGAAAAACGGTTATATACAACTTCAACGTTATTTATGATGATAAAAACAATATATTGAAAAAATAACTTGCCCCTTTCCAAATCTCGCCAGGGCCTAAAAAAATGCCAGGAACTGTAAACATTTGATAAACAGACACTTAATCCCTTCACACTTTATGGCTTGCGTAATCAACATATTAGTATCATTTGTCTTTTGAAAGCAATCAACAATTAGCAACCAATGTCGCAGTCAGCAAAATCCCAAAAATTAGGGTTTACGAGACGTCGGAGAACATAATTTTAACAAAATAAATTGATAAAACGGTAAAGAGATTCAAGATAGGACTTTCAAATAATTATATACGTATCATATACGAAGGAGATTAGATACTTACCCATCTTCATTTGGGCATCCCTGTAAGCGACTTCTATCCGTTGGGAATGGATCGTTGAAGAATAGAGAATTTAGGGTGCGTTTGGTTTGCGGGATTGGAATGGATTTGGAGGGATTTGGATTTGAAATCCATTCCAATCCTGTGTTTGGTTTGTTGGAATGGTAGGATTTCAAATCCAAGGAATCATCTAAAATCCCGTGAACTATGGATTTCAAAATCCTTTCAAAATACATGGGATTTCAAAATCCCATCCCCGTGGGATTTCATCTTCTCCATATTCTCGTCTCGCACAACTTATCGCTCCTCCATTGATTGCGGTCGTCGATCATCGTCTCCGTCGGTGGTCGATCTCGTCTCCATCGGTGGTCGATCTCATCTCCGTCGGTCGTCAATCTCGTCTCCATCTTCTCCCACAGCGGTCGTCGCTCCTCCATTGATTGCTCACTGTCGTCCGTCGCCCACCGTCTCCGTCGCCGTCTCCCACTGTGGTCCTCGCCGATAAACCGCCTTCTCCCATCACTCAACAGGTTTTTCCCCTTTTCCCCTTTTCGATTTCTGTCTAAACTTTGAACACAGATTAGGGTTTATCCTTCACTTTTGACAGATTAGGTAGAAAATTCTAGTGTAATGGTGGTGATAACTTTGCCATACATACAGTTCGATGATTGCGTAATACTTTAGTTGTCTTCACTATATACCCTAGTTCACCCTTCAATGAAGATCTGGTTCTTGGTGTGCTTATAGATGATGCTTATCCAAATCCAAATCCTGCAAACCAAACACAGGAATGGATTTTAAATCCTGAGAATCCAAATCCCATGGAATCCAAATCCTTCGTGGGAATCCAAATCCCTCGTAAACATTCCTGCAAACCAAACGCACCCTTAGGGTTTTGTATTTGGACATTGCAGATTACACAGCTCATTGATTCCCCTTTTGGCAAATAAAAGCAAGCAGAAGGCAGTACCATGGAAAGTGGCTTCACCTGGTTTCTGTTATAAATTCATAAATTTTACAAAAACGACCCTTAATTTTTAAAACCTCAATCTGTCTTTTTATTATTATTATTATTATTATTATTATTATTATTATTATTATTATTATTATTATTATTATTATTATTATTATTATTAATAAAGGTGGCATAATCAACTGAATATAAAAACTAGATTTTAATCAAAGTTGACAATATGTTTGTCTCATCTTTATGATGTGATGATTTGAAGTTGTCGCATATGTGTGATTCGATGACTTGAGCTTATCGCATCATTGATGCGAGAAGTATGTTTATCGTATCATTGTGATGCAACGAGATTGACTTATCGCATCATTTTGATGCGACAAGTTGGGCTTATCGTATCAAAGTGATGCGATGAAATGGGGTCCTCGTACCAGTGGTGTTGCGAGGAAATGGGGTTGTCTCACCCATGTGATGCGAGAAATTTATGATTTTACCTATATGATATGAGTTTTATCATAATATGATAAGTGAGTTATTTGGCTATTTGATGCGATAATCGGATAATATCTCATCTTTTGATGCGACAAAAGATGTTTATTTTATTAAAATGTTGTTTATTTGTTATTGATACAAATATGATTTTCTAAAAGTGTTTTGATGATTATTCACCTTGTAATAGCAAACAAAAAGATTTCCCACTAGACCTTAAGTTATAACCCTCATTTGTATTTTAAAATATCCATTACAGGTCGGGCACAACCAGATAATAAGGGGAGGGAAAATTGTGAAGAACTTGTAAATGCTTGCATGGGATGTTGGGGTAATGTGTTACCTTTTGTATTTGAATATGTGTTATGTATACAAGTTTTGTATTCATATTATATGGAAAAAAATTGGTAGCTACTTTGTAATGTAGTTTTTGTATATATTGGGACCAGATGTGTAAATTATATTTCTTGATATATGGAAATATATGTTTATATACAAATGTGATTATGGGGTGTTACACTCTCAGTCTTTGTCTTGGCTTTTACCAGGTAAGATTATTAGTCTTTGTCATATTCATATCGTATTGTAAGATAATGTAACTTGACAAACGCTTGTCGGGATAAAAGTTTAATAAACGGCTCCTTCCTTGGCTTTAAATTACTAGGTTCAGTTATTGAGATAATTAAGAAGGGTTTTTTAAATAAGTTTTTATTAAAAAATAAATAATTTATAAATGTAAATAATTGATATTTAGATACTCATATGGTTAAAAAAAAATATACATATACTTATTATGTTTATAAAATTTCAATATGAAATATAAAAAATAATCATATAATTTTTTAATCCGATTTAACTGAATCAAAAATTATAAACAAACCAAATGACTAAATAACCTTTTTTCTTTAATCCAAACTCAAGGTCGTCCTTTGGAGTGTTTCATTACGGGACATTGGGTCGTCCTTTGGGGTACTCCATACAAGACACTGAACAAGGCCTCCAATATTTTTTTGAGTCCAAATTCAGTTACATATTTTTATTATTTGTAGTTCTCATCTCCATCCTAGTCCAAATAACAAATCCCAATTAAAACTCTCCAAATAATGGTTTCCCCCAGCGTCGTAGTCTGTTTGGATAAAAAAACTCCACTTTGACAGTCGTTCCTGCACACATTGATTGTTTTGTTAGCGTTATTTCTTGCAATCATGCTACAATGATAATGTTGGTTGATGGTTTTGTTAAATATACCTCAATTTCTTGTACTTTTGTTTAAAGATAAATAAATTCATCTAATGTTAATTTTATATATATTTACCAATTCATCTAGAAGAAAATTATGTAAATAAAATAGTAGTATAATTTGCTATTTTGTTCATCCCAATATGGTAAAAAAAAATCGAAACGGAAACTTACTTTTCTCAGTTAACTGAACCATTAAATCTGCAAAATGAACAATCCGAAACCATTGTGATTCGGTTAAGTTGTCGGTTTAATTGTAATTCAGAGGTCCCGACTTACCCGTGGGCTATTGATCATCCAAATTATTCAAAATTGTGTAATGAATGTGTTTTTAGTCTTTAGATGGTGTTTTATTTGCATTTTAGCCTTCATTTTTCTAAGCATTACTCCTTTGAATTTTTGTGTAGTATTAATAGAAGATGGTCCACCTTTTTCTTATTTAGGAAAGTATAAAATAATTATTATAATATAAAATAGACAAATTATAATTATAATTACAGATTAAAAATAACAAATAAAAAGTCACTAAGTATTTTACATTTTAAAATAAGTTTTTAATAAATAAAAATATTTTTTTTTACTATGATGTAAATGAGGTTTTAATTAATTTCAACCGATCCAAAATAGTAATCAAATATAGAGTAAACTACAAATTCGATTCTTGCAGATGAATGAGATTAGTTAACTGAGAAAGTTCAATCTTCAAATTAGAGACGTAAGGTGAAGGAATTGCATATAGCAATAGTAATTAGGAATTAGGCGGATAAGGAAATACGTCATAGGAGGAAGGAATTGGGGTACTAGACTAAAGTGCTAAAACAGTATAACTGTTAAATGGACAAAAGTAAGTAGGATACTTAAAGCGTTAAGCTAAAAATCAAAATTATATGTAATATGATACAGGGTTAGGTTTCGATGAGAATATAAGTTATGATGAAAAGGGTAAGAAATGATCTTAAATCATTTGATCAATCCTAACTAAATATTAAGGCTACTGTGGTGATTTAAGAGGCACTAGATCAATCCTAACTAAATATTAATGCTACTATGATGAAAAGGGTAAGAAATGATCTAAATTCTTGGTTCAAATGATGTAATATTGATGACACATCATTTTGATGATATGATTAAAATAAAAAAAAAACTTTTTTCCAATTATTTTAATGATTTTCACTTTTCCTGGTAACGATTAAAAACATTTCAATTTTCTTAAAACTTTTAATTATTAAATTGCATGCAATTAATTATTTTAGAGTAAAATATTTCTTAAATAAATATGATATATTATTTTCAGTATAATTATTTTATCTGGAAAAAAAAGGTAACAATTATTTTATTTTGTTAAAAAAAATACATGTATTTTAATGTTTTTTAGAATGTTAACGAGATAAATTATGCTTTACAAGTTTTCTTAATATTGTTATATTAATGAATAACTCAATTATTTTTAATTAATTTGATATATTTATATGTCAAGTAGTTTTCCTTAAACAAGTATGATATTTTTTTATAAGATAAATATTTTTTTGGTAAAAAAAAAACGTAATAATTCTTTTTTTTTCTTTCAAAAAATACATTTTTTTAAAATGTTAGTAAGATAACTAATATTTTATTAATCTTCTTAATATTGATATATAAACGAATAATAAAGGAGTTTTCTAATTCATTTAATTATCTATTAAATAATATTTAAAAAAAATTCAAAGTATAATGTTGTAATAATAAATGTCACCTAGACAAAATTTTATACGTGAAGATCTTACGTGGACAATGACATGACATGAAAACTTTGTAACATGTGTCATATCATCTTAATTTAAATCAAGAGGTTATCCATTACTATAATCTCGATTTTGGAAGATTGAATTTTTAATTGAAATTCAAGATTAGAAACATATACTAATTTAGGTAATATGTTTGATTAAATATATAATGTTTAAATAACGAAATGTTAAAACTAAAAGTACAATGTTGCAATAGGAACCGATGATCCTATAATAAATAATTTTGAAAATATAATATTATAATAAAAAATGTTACGTCAGCGGTCAGATAAATGAGAACAGCCTACAAGAAAGTAAGGTGACAGAAAAATATAATATAATGAGTAAATTTAAATCAAAATGTTATAATAGATTAATTTTTTAAAGTAAAATGTACTAACAAAAAATTATTTAAAAATACATTGTAATAATAAATAATACTGAAAGTAAAATATCAGAATAAAAAAAATTATGAGAGTTTATATGATCATTTAAATGGTGCAAAATCTAGCAACGTGGAAATATCATTCTACAGACCAACCGACTATGTTGACGACGAAGGCAATGCGCCATCAGGTTCTTCAATAGTATACAGAGCTCCAATGGCCATGGCGATTCGTATTTCTTCCCAATACTTATTTCCTGTAATCAATTATCTCTTTCTCTTTTCTTATGATTGAATATTATGTATTCCTTTCAATTCCCCGTTCTTTTGAAATTTAAAATGAATAACCCTCGTTTAATTTCTTTTATCATTTGAACTGCTGTTCCGTGATGTGAACTTGCTCTTAAAGTCTTAATTGTTTATAATCGTATTCTGATAGTTGAAATTCAGATTGCAGAAATATTCAGCAACACTTGTTGTTTGAACGATGAAAAGGTTTATTGTTTTTAGATACTGATTGTGGCTTTTAAGCATGAATGAACTGGCAGTGTGCGATTAAGAATGAGGTCGTTATAGCTTTTAATCAATTTTTATGGAGAAGGGAGTGGAATGAAACCTTAGAGCGATTAGGATTTAGGGTTCTTCTAGCAACTCTTAAGTAGTTAGGAGTTAGGACAAAGGACTTGATTGAGGACCACCGTCCTCTTTATGTATATTGAAAGAATCTGGGTTTGCAATGTTGAAGTGGAATAATAAATTGAAGAATCTTTCTGAATTACTCTTAGAAGGTTGAAAATGAACTGACATGATGCACAAATTGGGGCAAAAAGGTTTGCGTACAGCATATATGATATATCATATCAATTAAAGTTGTAATTTGAAAATACTTGAGTCATGATTGGTTTGATCATTCAACCATGGAAGGCATTATTCTGATTTTTTCCAATTCGAAAATGCAGTCTTTCAATAATGCACGGGAAGTTCTTGCCCGTATTACGACAGGCAAGTAATGCATGCTTCTTTCTACTTCTTTTCATATCATCAGATTGCTGAGCCTGTATATGAAATCATGTTATAATTTTCTATGTTTATTGCCTTCTAATTGATGCTGTTTATCCAGCTAGCAAATATTGTAGATTTCATGGTAAAGCTATGACAATATCCTTTCGAGGCTCTGTAAAGCATTTACAGACAGTGTGCCGAATCTCAGTTCCTGGCTCCTCTTGGGAGAGTGTTAAAAATCCACCTTCGAACTCTCTAAAAGACAGGAAACTGGTCCCCGACTCAGATCCACCAAGCACTAAAGATGTCAATCTTTTATATGAGTTTTTCGATAGAAGGTAAGTTTTGACGCCATCAGATTCGATATTGCGATTGAAGTTTCAATTTCTTCTATGTATGAGATAATCAATGACCTTAAACACCCAAGATTTGCACCTTTTTGCAGTACCAAACTTGTTGCTTTGACTGGAGCTGGGATAAGCACAGAGTGTGGAATTCCTGATTATAGAAGGTACTTTCAATCTATATATACAACATCTTGAATCAACAAAAAGATACCCATTAAACTTGTATTACAAAATAAGGTCAGGATGTATATAATATTTGTCAGGATGTATATAATATTTGTCATGTGATTATATCTTTGACCAGCTGCTTCTTAAAGAGGTTTCAAGAATACATTTAAACACATCTTTTCATCCATTTGTATACTATGAATTAGGCACACAATTCTTCGTTGTTATATTTAGCTTTTCCCAATTCATTTTCTGGATTCATAAAGGGGCATAAAATCTGATTGTGTGTGCTTAGTTCCTGAGTTAGAGACAACTTCTTTTTTCCCTTGCTGTAGATTTTAACATTGTGCTCATGTTCAATTCATTCATCTCCCAAGTAGTAACAACATTATTTTTTCCTTCTCCCCTCCCATATAACTGCAGCCCGAATGGAGCTTATAGTACTGGCTTCAAACCGATTACACATCAGGTGATCTGAAGGCATCTGGTTGCTAATGGTTGCATTTCGCTGGTTGTTGATTGTTTATCCCTTTTTACTCTTAACTTGTGATTCCTTTACACTTTGTAATTTTCCCATCTATCCTTTATATTGCAATGGGGTTGGATGTTGCTTTGATGGATAATAATGGAATATTGGATTTGAGGTATCCCTAACAACTACTGGATAGTGCTCAAGGAAGAGGCCTTCCTGCAGGGGCAGACGTAGCATTGAAAAGTGGGGGGATGGGCCCCCATTAAAGTAATTTTTTTCCTCTTTGATATAGGTTAACCGATTCAGTCTCAGCCCCTAAGGGTATGAGTGAACTCAGGATACTATATTCTTCCTACACAACTACCTTGCTTGGTGGTAGACTGGCCTCCTAGGGGGCACTTGGCAACTCACTCGTGGGGCATGAAATCCCCAAATTCCTAAAGTACTTCCCGAAACCACCAGCCACCCCGACCTAATTCATGATGAGCCCACCAACCCACCCTCAACTGAGAATCATGTTTTTTTAACATTCTACCATAGTTCCCCCCAGTAATTTCCCACCTGTGACCCTACCAACCAAAAAAGTACCTCAAAATGAACCAAAAAACCAAAAAAGTCTCTTGAAATCAATCCAAAAAACCAAAAAAGTCCCTCAAAATCGACAAAAACACTAAAAAATTCCTTGAAATCAACCAAATAACTTTAAAAATCCCTCGAAATGGTGGAATTAGGCTAAAAATGCATCGGGCGACTTTGCGAGCCTTTAGTCTACCTTAAAGATGCCTCCATTAAACAAAAATCCTGAATCCGCCACCACCTTCCCACACAAACCCCTCGTAGGTCCATCAAGTGGGCCCTACATGCTATTTGTTGGGAGCCCTTTTCCTTGAGCTTTATGGATACCTTGAATACGAACACCCTATAGATGCATATGTTAGTGCCCCACACTCTGCTTTTTCGGCTTAGAATTTCAAAGAAAGGGGTAGATAGTTGAGGAGCAGCTCCTCCTGGAATAGTATCAAGGGCAAGAAGAAAAAGAAATATGTCCGTAGTGTACTACTGATTTCAAGCATTATACTAAAAACCAGTATTTAATTTAGTTATAGCAGATATGGAAATTTTCTCATCATTACTTAAGAGTGGGATTAAGTGAGTAATTAGTTTCTACTTGGATAAGAATGCAATGCATACATTGTTAGTAAGGACTCTAGTTTCATATATCTATTGGCTGTGATAGATTATTACGCCAAGCCTTTAATGTGGTCTTATTTGCTTATATAATTGTGGCAAGTATCCTTGATTTTTAGTTCTACTGTATCTTCTCTATGTGCGCAGCAATTTATTCGTTCTAGCCGTGCACGAAGGCGGTATTGGGCAAGGAGCTATGCAGGATGGAGAAAGTTCAATGAAGCAAAGCCTAGTGTAGCTCATACTGCATTATCATCTCTAGAAAAAGCCTGCCGAATAAGCTTTATGATTACACAAAATGTAGATAGGTGAACCTTTCCCCCCAAAATATATTAAATAGCTAATCTTGAATGGTATTTCACTGAGATTAAATAGTATTTCCTGTCCCAGGTTGCACCATCGTGCTGGTAGTAGCCCGCTTGAGTTACATGGGACTGTTTATACTGTCGGTTGTGTGGATTGTTGGTTTTCTTTTCCACGGGAGTCCTTTCAAGACCAATTGAAGTCCCAAAATCCAAAGGTCAAAACCTTCAAATTGCAATTGCTATTTCTTTTGCTTCTTAGTAATAATTGTGCAGCCCTTTTGTGATATTTAAGTCACCTTCGCACTAGTAATCTTTCAAAGCTATGGTTAACCAGTAACATAATCACATTATCATGTTGCTGTATAACTTGATAGATTGTAAAGTCTTGTTCTTGTGATGCACTCCCCATATTCCTGTATGTGGCAAAGAAATGACCAATTCATCTCAATTAATGTTGTGTCATTTTCTCCAAAATTGATGTGAACCTAAATCCTCGGGCGTCCTCGTTTTATTTTCGGTCTCTATATTCCTTACTTCAATATTATGTATCCATATATTACCTTTCATTGGCAAATTGTTCCTAATAATTAAACTTAACCTACTCTATTGCGATTTTAAGAAAAAACATTTTTGGTCAGATATTTGTTGGTCAAAAGGTATGGTTAGGGCTTCATTTCTTTATCCAACTTCTCTTGGTTCTTTCACATATTTTGAATTTCTGTTCGGTTGCACCTTTTGAACATTTATTTGAAGTAGCATAGTTTATTTTTTGGAATTTTATCATTAAAATTATGAAATAAAGCTACCTCTCTTAAATGAGTTATATTTAGCTCATCTTAGGTTCATCTATTGGGTTAGGATCTTGGTTCTTCAAATTTTGATATATGATGGATGTCTCCTGATTCAAATTTCTGCTACTTCTGCATGATAATGATGAATATGAAATTGTCACTACTCACAAGCTGTATCACAGTTTTTCCCTTTTTCCCCTTCTTTATATGTAATGAGATATAATTGTTCAGTGCAGTGGGCAGAAGCTATAGAAAGTCTAGCTTATGACAGCAAGTCAGATAAGAGTTTTGGGATGAAGCAGAGGCCTGATGGTGATATTGAAATTGATGAAAAATTCTGGGAAGAAGATTTCCACATACCAACTTGCTCAAAATGCAATGGGGTACTTAAACCCGATGTAAGGCGATTCCCTTAACTAGTGCCATATCCATTTTGATGATGAGGAAGTAAACAGTCTTGAGGATTTGTTCATGGAAGTAAATATCATAGGTGTCACAAATGACGGGGAACTTATCATGCCACCAAAGGGCATTGGCCCAGCCGTACCTAGGTTACCGGTAGAGTCTAACCTCCCAGGAGGTCAAGGGTTCAAACCTTACCACAGCTGAGGAGTGTGCGTTAGTATTTGCTGCATAAAAATGTTATATACTCCAAAAAAGAACTTATCATGCCTACAACTGCAGCATAATAAGTATCAGCAAGCCCCTATAAAGACCTAAGTTCTTCACATCCATTACTATTAAGTCGATAACCTCACTCTCTCTTGCATCATACTCCTTCCCTCCCATAAAAATTGCAACAATATTCATCTTGGTACCTGTCTTGTAAATGGGAACATTTGTAGCTAAATTAGCAATTTGCCCATTGTCATCATTACAGATTATAGGTCATATTGGTTTTGTCCAAGGTTTCCCCTATGTTTTACAAGGTATTTGAGACATTTGACTAAGGAGCCGTTTACCAAACTGTAACCGGGTAAGTGCATACTGGGTGAGCATGGTAAGGACCAAGAATCTTACCCCTAAAAGCCATAACAAGTAACAAGAATCTTGCCTGGTAAGTTAGGGTGGAGACTCTTACCCGGCTAGTGCTTACCAAGCAAAAGACGGTTACCAAAAATCTTACTATGCCATTTTGATGGCCGAGAATCTTACCCGGTAAGGTAAGCGAGGGTGGTGACTCTTACCCGGTTAGCGTTTACCAAATTACCAATAGGGCAATACTATGCCATTGATGGCCGAGAATCTAGCTGGAAAGCTAGGAGCCTTACCAAACGCTTACCAGGTAAGTGCTTAATGGCAAAAGTCATCATGCTAATTTATCTTATGGGGTAACATTTCCGGCCATCACAATGGATTGATGGTAAGTGCTTAATGGCAAAAGTCACCACTCTAATTTATCTTATGGGGTAACATTTCCTGCCATCATAATGGATTGATGGTAAGTGTAAATAACCCCGGTAAGCACTTACCGGGTAAGAGTCATCACCTTCACTTATCGGGTAAGACTCTCAATCCTTGTTTTCCCTCTTATTGGGTAAGATTCTCAGTCCTTATTATGTTCACTTGGTAAAGTAATAGAACCGAACCACAAGGGTGGTGCTTGATTGGTTTGAGCTTGGCTCCAAAGGTCAAAAAGTACCAGGAGGTCCCAGGTTCAAATCCAAGCAGGAATAAAAATCCCTTGTGGCCATGGAGGTTCAAATGCGGTGACTCCGGGCTATCTGCTTTGCAGGTGGTCGCCCTGGGATTAGTCGGCTCGCATAGCGGGTTGGATATCCAGGTTAATAAAAAAAAAGTAATAGAACCGGTAAGCGCTTACCAAGGTAAGTGTAAACGGCCCCTAAGTGATGGTGTTGACTCTTACCTTGTAAGTGCTACCTGATTAGCGTTTGGTAAATGGCCCCTAAGTTGGTTGTTTTTGTCCTTGAAGTAGTAGGGAGTTAACACTGACCTATGATTATGTTCAGGTTGTTGTTTGATCCATTAGAAGCCAATCTTTTGACATCCATCAACTTATTACAGGATCTAACTGTGCTAATGTTTCTTGGTTTTGAAGGTTGTCTTTTTTGGTGATAATGTACCCAAGGATAGAGCCAATATAGCCATGGAAGCTGCTAAAGGGTGTGATGCTTTCCTTGTCCTTGGTTCATCAGTAATGACTATGTCTGCTTTCCGCCTTGTCAGGTACATATCTTGCTTTCCGTTGCCTGTAGTTGTTGAACTTTTTTCGTGTGACACATCCACTAGGAACAGGTTCTCATTAATAAAAAGTTTATCATATTTTATTCAGTTAATAATGTTGTGAACTGGGGTCTGTGAGTTTTCATCAAGTCAAACAGGGCTTCAGTTCAAGATGTAGCTTTATGATTGTGCAAGTTTTAATGGACTTTTTGGTATGTGGATTTATGAATTCAGAGGATCAAAAAATTACTTATGATTCTTGATTTGTGAACATTTTTCCTAAGCATTTGATTTTCTTAGCATATGAAGTTGTCTTGAAATTTCATTTTGAAGTAAGAAAGTCTCCTATGTTTGGTTGAGGATACAGCTTGAAAGGAAAGCACACATATGAACCTTGTAGCAAAACCATCAACTCTAAACCAATGGGGGGTTTGTCACAATTTTGTGAATGATCTTCTGTTACAGATCATTTATATATGTGTGTATATATATCTATATCTATATATATAGATAGAGGAAAGTTCCGTTAGGAACCCAGAAACCGCCCACAACACGCCATGTGTCCTTCAGGATGAACATTCATCGTGAATAAGTAACACATTCATGATGAATATGGACGTGTTATTCATCATGAATATGTTTCAACATTCATGATGAATATGTTACACGTCCATATTTCTGATGAATATGCTATGTGTTGCACAGTGGGCTGTTCCCAAGTTCCTAATCAATGTTAGGTTCCTAATAGAACCTGCCCCTATATATATGAGATGCTATTCATTTCACCCGCCCAACATTTTCATCATTTTATATGGTGCGGAAAGATATAAATACATCAAAATGGGTCCTATTTACTCAATGCGGTGGAACCACAGAAGAGGTAGATGGTGTAATCGAATAATGGCATTTGCAAGCCAAACTTCTCAATTTTCTAAATCATCTGTAATCACAATTGGTTGTTTTAACATAACTTTCTGTGATCCAAAAATTACTGCTTCATCGTCATGTTTTCTTGTTTAATTGAGAGATCTTAATTGATTTGTGCAGAGCAGCTCATGAGGCTGGTGCTGCTACAGCAATTGTGAATATAGGCATCACTCGAGCCGATGAGTTTGCAGATTTGAAAATCAACGCCCGTCTAGGAGAGGTGTATAAATGTTAAATTTCGTCATGTTGGACCGCTTGCATTTACCTGATTGTGGTGCACTGTCAATGCAGATATTACCACGGCTGCTCAACACTGGTTCGCTCAGCGTTCCTGCTATCTGAGACTTCAAACAGGACCACACGTCATACTATCTGAGACTTCACGGCTTGTACTTGAAATTAGTCGATGGATGGTGTCAACTTGGTCAACTCTTCACAAGTTATGGTTTTGACATGGGTTTGTTCTACTTATCTATTGTTTTCTACTGACTTTCTTCAAGATCAAGGGTGATTGCCGTCTGCAAACATTGTTTGTTGAAGCTGATGGATGTATCTTGTGTAAGACTTTTGTATTCTATATATACACGGGCGACACTCAAAAATAAATTTGTAATCAATGTATCAAGTAGTTGTTACATGGATGCCTGTTGCTAAAAATTGAAGTACAGATTGTTTAATCTCCATTAAGACTTTTGCTTCAAGGACTCGTTTATCATCCGATAAAGATACAAGTACATTACCATTTTACCCTTGCAATATGTAAAATAGTTGATGGTGAAGAATATTACAATAAAACTTTTATGAAGAAAAGAAAATGCATGAGATGGAAGTTGATGACCAATCCTTGATGCCATTTTTTGACAAAAATATCATTCATTATGGGCTGTTTACCAAATGCCAACCAGGGTAAGTGCTTAATGGATAAATTCTGAATCTTACCAGGTAAAAGGTATAATGGCTTACCTGATTAGCGTTAGCTTCCATAAACGGCCTCTAAATAGTGAGTTGAAGGTATGGTTAAACGGCCTCTAAATGGTGAGTTGAAGGCAAACCATACGAAACATGTATCATGACAATTTCCAAGAGAGGTACCATGTATCATGTCGAACACAAATTAATTCACAGTTTCACACAACCGCAAAACACAAAGAAAACCAAATGTAAAGTCTTAAACGTTATTGTAGAAGTAAGAGCAAACATTATAACCATGGTGGTGTAGTAGAGTCGATTAACAGCCGGTATTAAAAACATAGGGGAGAAACTTCTTTAAAAGCCTTAAGCTATTGTAGACTAATAATATATTCGGGTGAGGAACATTTGACCTGTGTTCTGTTCTCTAACCTTCCTCTCCTATTTAATTTCTCCTCTTAGATGTAGTAGAATCACAAACTTTTCCTGCAAAAATAACAAGCTTAAAGTACGCATTCCCATACATACATAATATGATGTTTTGAATTATAAATATGATAAAAGCAAAACCGAAGTAAATGAACCAATTACTCGGTTCCAAATTTTTAGGGCACGTTCAATTTGAAGAACTTCGTGGGATTTGGAATTGGATTCTACTCCAACCCAAGGTTTAGTTTAAAAGAAAGTCCGAAATTAAAATCCCGAGATTTCAATCAAATCCCACAAATATGAGAGTTAGAAATTCAACGAGGGTAGATGGTATTTCACAAAATTTCATAGAATTTGTTTGTAATAATGTTTTGAAATATGTTAGAAACTACCGCTTTCTAATAATAATAAACAAAAAGGTATTCAATTTCATTCCCCGATCTACAACCAAACACACCAAAGATTTTAAATCCTTCCAATTCGAAATTTTCCGAGATTCAAAACCCTCGAAAACGTTATATGGTTCTGTCGCACTAATTAAGAAATGAAGAACTGGCTTTTAAATGCTTGTAAAAATGCCAACAAGACACTGTAGTTTGCAAGAGGGGCGATCTTGGACAAAATACAATAATGCAAATGCAAAAATATCCATGGTACTTGGCATTTCATTTTGCAAGAAGGGCGATCTGTATGGTTTTGTACCATCCTACCAATGTGGATCAACATAAGAGAACAAGAGTTTGGGAACAAAAGAGAGAAAAGTAGACCGCACATCCTACATGTTCACGATCTGGGATCCAAGTAGATGATTTCTGCTTGTCGTGAGGCTCGAGGGAACTGCATAATCTCCTTAGCAATGTTAAGCCGTTGAAGTGCATCAGAAGTTTTACTCACTATGATGGTCAACTTATCGTGAGATGGGGAATGAGCAAGTAAGAGCTTTCTAAAAAGCATTTGCGTTCTTGATCCTGTTAAGCTTTTTATGCTCATGGTTTCCAACTGTTTCAATGTCCGACCCAAGCAGTTAGGGGATTCCAGATGATTTAAAGCCGGTTCTACATTGTAATGCATGCCCTGAGGCTATTAAAAAGACATAAAAAAACATTTAAGATTTAGCATCAAACTCTAATACCATATAAAAACAAAACAAAAACTAATAGCACTCTATATTTACCATCGGAGAATAAATGATATCTAGTCTTACTAGATTCGGTGAGGTCTGAAGCAAACTAAGCACACTCTGAACTTGATCCATATCACTAAGTTGAATATCTTTAAACCACAAGAACTCAATACTATTATCTGCATGAAGAAGCCAATTCGACATCTTGTCTGCACTCAGAAACTACAAGGCGAAAGTGAGATACCATTATAACCCAAAAAAGGTGAGAACTAAGTGTTAAAAATGTAATTTTGTGTAATACCTTGATAAAATGACCATCGATGAAAAAGTGTTGAACATTGGGCAAGATACTTAACAACCTGGCCAGATTCATGTATTCGACTCGTAGAATATTTTCTATGGGTTTCCGTAAAGTTTAAAAAACCACAGTTAGGCTTGGATTATTCGCTAACCGGCACAACATGGCATCAGGGCAAGTGACGAGAGACAAACACTGCAGGTTACGAGCATTGATGTTGTGTGCAATTATTCAGGGTCAACTTTCTAAGTCGTGGTAAATTGACCTTAGTTACACAACAATTAGGCCCAAAGACAATATTCTTGAGAAAAAGATCTTTAAGATTGGGAAAACCCTCAAACTCGAGTGGTGTGTTGAAGATACAGTTCTCAAGTTTCAACTTCTTCAATTCTGAGCAAGAAAACACATGAGATGGAAGTGGATAAAAGGAATTTGCATTAAAAAGGACGAGTTCCCTGACACTGCTTCTTGATAGGAATAACATCCATTGATGCACTTCTTGGAAGCTATCAAGAGAGATATTCGGTATATAGAGAGATAATTTCGATATAGCACGTGGGTGAAGGATCAAGATTTGGTTTACGATCCTTATAAACCCATTAAGACCGAAAGCTACATATTTTACAATTTTTTTGGCGAATTGCTCGTCAAGGACCAACGACGTCATTGTAGTCCATCTGTACCTCCACCTTTTCGATAGAACACTTGTCCTTACGGCATCTTGAACCGTGAGACGCTCTAAGATTGAGCCAATCAAATGCTCTGGCAGGTTACTGATTCTATCCTCTTCAACACAACTTAGATTACGATCCTCTGTCAAAATATCAAGACCAAGTTATTTCGAGATAATAATCGTTCGATCAAAATAGTAGTCAAACAAAATCTTGGAATTAAAATAGACAGAGCAGTAGAAAGATATAAAGATTTCTCATTCGGATTGCTTATAATCAAAGGTTTATGAAGTAGAAACTTACTCATCTTCATCAATTGGAAGTTGCAGGGCTTTTTGAGAATTAGAAGAGGAAACGCATAGATTGAAAGTTGAAGCAACTGCTTTACTTGGAAGAGACATGGATTCATTTATAGTGCTCACCTTCCCAATAAATGCATAAGGTTCAAGAATGGCTATTCGGCTCCCAAGAATATTTGGTCCTTTCCTAATAAACGATTCATGCCCCCAAGAATGGCTATTCCTCTTCCGAGACCGGCGATCCCATCTTCCCATGTCTCCTTGATATTACATTTCCATGATATCATCGTGGTCGCATGAGTGTTCTCCATGGTGGAACCCTGTTAAACAATACAAAACGAGGTTAAATTCGGGTGGGATTTAGCTATCTGGATCGATGGATGTTAACCAATCCAAAAGTTACCCATCTGGGTTTTCACCAGACCTTCAGCATCATTGATTTTAACCATTTCAAGAAATCTTGAAATTGCCTCTGTATCTAGCACAGAGATTTCTATCGATATATGAGATTTCTATCCCTGATGCCTTGTTGTACCGGTTGAGATTTGAACCGTTCACCTTCTGGGAAGGTGAGCACTATAAATGAATCCATCTCTTTTCCGAGAAAAGCAGAGATAACCTTTAGTCGGTTCAATCTATTCGTTTCTTCTTCTAATTCTCAATTCTTTCGACGTTCAAAGTCCTGCAACTTCAGTTGATGAGGATGAGTAAGTTTCTACTTCATAAACCTTTGATTATAAGAAATCCGAATGAGAAATCTTGATATCTTGCCAGGTTATTTGACTATTATTTTGATCGAACGATTATTATCTTGAAATAACTTGGTCTTGATATTTTGACAGAGGATCGTAAAAAGAGGTTTCTAAGTTGTGTTGAAGAGGATAGAATCAGTAACCTGCCAGAGCATTTGATTGACTCAATCTTAGAGCGTCTCTCGGTTCAAGATGCCGTAAGGACAAGTGTTCTATCGAAAAGGTGGAGGTACAGATGGACTACAATGACGTCGTTGGTCCTTGACGAGCAATTCGCCAAAAAAATTGTAAAATATGTAGCTTTCGGTCTTAATGGGTTTATAAGGATCGTAAACCAAATCTTGATTCTTCACCCACGTGCTATATCGAAATTATATCTCTATATACCGAATATTTCTCTTGATGGCTTCCAAGAAGTGCATCAATGGATGTTATTCCTATCAAGAAGCAGTGTCAGGGAACTCGTCCTTATTAATGCAAATTCCCTTTATCCACTTCCATCTCATGTGTTTTCTTGCTCAGAATTGAAGAAGTTGAAACTTAAGAACTGTATCTTCAACACACCTCTCGAGTTTGAGGGTTTTCCCAATCTTAAAGATCTTTTTCTCAAGAATATTGTCTTTGGGCCTAATTGTTGTGTAACTAAGGTCAGTTTACCACGACTTAGGAATTTTACCCTGTATAATTGCACACGTCTGCAATTTCAACATCAATGCTCGTAACCTGCAGTATTTGTCTCTCGTCACTTGCCCTGATGCCATGTTGTGCCGGTTAGCGAATAATCCAAGCCTAACTGTGGTTTGTATAACTTTACGGAAACCCATAGAAAATATTCTACGAGTCGAATACATGAATCTGGCCAGGTTGTTAAGTATCTTGCCCAATGTTCAACGGTTTATCATCGATGGTCATTTTATCAAGGTATTACACAAAATTACATTTTGAATGCTTAGTTCTCACCTTTTTTGGGTTATAATGGTATCTCACTTTCGCCTTGTAGTTTCTGAGTGCAGACAAGATGTCGAATTGGCTTCCTCATGCAGATAATAGTATAAAGTGGATGTGGTTGTTAGATATTCAATTTAGTGATATGGATCAAGTTCAGTGTGTTCTTAGTTTGCTTCAGACCTCACGGAATCTAGTAAGACTAGGAATCCATTATTCTCCAATGGTAAATACAGAGTGCTATTAGTTTTTGTTTCGTTTTTATATGGTATTAGAGTTTGATGCTAAATCTTAAATGTTTTTTTTTATGTCTTTTTAATAGCCTCAGGGCATGCATTACGATGTAGAAACGGCTTTAAATCATCTGGAATCCCCTAACTGCTTTGGTCGGACATTGAATCAGTTGGAAACCGTGAGCATAGAAAGCTTGACAGGATCAAGAACGGAACTGCTTTTTATAAAGCTCTTACTTGCTCATTCCCCATCTCTCGATAAGTTGACCATCATACCGATTAAAGCTTCTGATGCACTTCTACGGCTTAACATTGCTAAGGAGATTATGCGGTTCCCTCGAGAGTCACGACATGCAGAAATCATCTACTTGGATCCCTGATCGTAAACATGTAGGATGTGCGGTCTACTTTTCTCTCTTTTCTTTCCAAACTCTTGTTCTCTTGTGTTGATCCACATTGGTAGGATGGTACAAAACCATAGTGATCGCCCTTCTTGCAAAATGAAATGCCAAATACCATGGATATTTTTGCATTTGCATTATTGTATTTTGTCCAAGATCGCCCTTCTTGCAAACTACAGTGTCTTGTTGGCATTTTTACAAGAAGTATGGTTTGAGTTATAAGCGTTTAAAAGCCAGTTCTTCATTTCTTAATTAGTGCGACATAACCTTATAACGTTTTCGAGGGTTTTGAATCTCGGAGAATTTCGAATTGGAAGGATTTAAAATCTTTGGTGTATTTGGTTGTAGATCCAGGAATGAAATTGAATACCTTTTTGTTTATTATTATAAAAAAGCAGTAGTTTTTAACATATTTCACAACATTATTACAAACAAACCCGGGATTATTGTGAAATGCCATCTACTCTCATTGGATTTCTAAATCTCATATTTATAGGATTTGATTGAAATCCCGGGATTTTAATTTTGGACTTTCTTTTAAACTAAAACTTGGATTGGAGTAGAATCCAATTCCAAATCCCACCAAGTTCCTGAACGTGCCTTAAAATCTTTGAACCGAGTAATTGGTTTATTTACTTCGGTTTTGCTTTTATCATATATGTAATTCAATACATCATCTTATGTATGTATGTGTAACACCCCATTCCAAAGGAAGGGAGGTTGCTTCAAACGTAACGGAGCCGCTATATAAAACCTCCAAAATATAGTCTCCAATACAAAATAAAATCTTCCAATAACAAAATTGAATATAACTTCAAACAAGATATCAAGGTCTCCAAACAAACTATTTCCAAAATCCTCCAACAACCGAGGAAAGTCCAAAAACAACCAAAGAAATTTAATCTAATAGCCAAAAGAAAAAGATTCTAATAAGCGAAATAACATAGCTCTAAACCTCTCGAAACCTTGAACCAAGATCCTGGTCTACTCCTTGTCACAAGACTTAGCCGCCCCCTTGATTACCTGCCGTGAGGAATAAAAGAAAACACGACTGAGCCAAATGCCCAATGAACGGATAAACAAATATAGAAAAATGGTAATACAAACATGCCAAAATTATCTCAAGACATCGAACCAAATGAGTACCAAAATCTTAGAAAATCTACAAATAACATAATCATACGAAATCATATGAGGGGACACATCGAGCTCGAAAATGCATACACTTGCATATTAACTAACATGACAAGTGTCAGACATATGGCCACACAGGCCTGTACGTTGGACTGCAGATCCACACGTACCAAATGTGAGATGTGGCGTTGGACACTACACCGACATCCACCCTACAAACGAATCACATGTGCTAGGGCCGACCCATACGCCTCCTAAATCGAATATCCATCACACCAAAATAGCTCTCACAAGAGCAYAAAAGAGGAGACGYCGTGGACTGATCACACTGCCAYGGYTAGTGTCACGCCATCGGTGCCACAATGACGTGCCTATGGTACMCCCATAGGTGGTTAGTAGCTCGAGTTACCCARAGTTGAGTTRTCACAAYGAATGTGACGTTATAYRTCTTACATATGGTCAATAAATAACGAAGTCAAATGAAAAGTCAAACAAGGAATTATGTTGAATAACAAGTAGGCATAATATAAAGAGGCTCAATTCGAAGAATACATAATCGATCAAAAGTACCAACATATGTATTTTTAGAGGTAAAAAGCATACCAAAATGTTACCGAACAAATAAACGTTTACTAACTCGAATAACTCAAATAGCATGATTAGGACAAGACGCCCTTGCCATATATATATATACATACATACATGACGTAGAACAAATACAATTGAATGGAATATGCACTAACGAACAATTTGGATGAATATGAGCTAAAAGAGACTCACGAGTTCATAAGCATATTTAAACGAGCTAACTG